ATATATGAGACGGTGGAATGTTTTAGTATTTTTGTAAATCCAGCAGTAAAAAGATATACGTGAACTTATTACTTCTTCCCAAAATGAAAAGATGTTACTTTCTCATTAATTCAAAAGCATAAAGAAAGCATACTAGCTCCTTACTCATTGAATGTACTTGCTTCAAAAGGTAAAAGATGCCAGGCCTCCTGTTTCCTTACTCAGTGAAAGGCGAGACTTCTGCTTTCTCACTAAGACGTTTAGGTTTAGCATTTACTTCAGAACACAAAGAAATGAAGTTAGACCTTCGACTTCACAGAAGAAAGATCTTAAGCCTGTTTTTCCCTCAAAGATCAGAAAGACATAAAACCTGTCAAGCTTTTTCAGACCTGGAAGACTATGATTTCCTCCCACAGAAGCTTCTGATTCTCAGAGATCAGAGGAAAGTTGGGAATGCAAATTCAGAGATCAGAGAGTGACTAAACTTAATATTCTGGTGCAGACAGGGAAAAAAGGTTATCGTCACCTACTCCTAGTGATGTCTGTTACTTCTTCTAGTACAAAAAGAAACAGCATATTTGAAAGGGGTATCCTATAGGAAAGCTATTAGGAATTTACTCCAGAGCAAGAGAATGTTAAGTTAATTATCTTCCATACAAAAATGTGGTGGAGCCAATCATTTGCAGCAAAGTTTAGGCATTAAGACTGTTTTCTGGCCAAGAAAAAAAACAAAACAGGAGGCTCACTAATGCAGAAAACAATCAGGCCTACTACTTACTCCTAAAGCAGCTTGGTAGGCGACATCCGGTGGGAATGTAAATGTAGGGCCACTTATTACAGGGCTGCTCGGGGGTGGGGTCACAATTAGCCCTGCAGTACTGATATGGACCTAACAAATTAAGGAAGAAAAAAAAAGAAAAATTAAATTTCTAATTTTTGATTTAACTATTAAAGAGGCATGATCACTCTAAAGATTTACTATGTGTACATACATGTATGCATTTATTGATTTCATTATTTAGGAAGCAAAAATGTGAGGCCTAATATCAAAGTAAATGGCCGAAATTTAACAAAAATGAAAATATTGGCTCCGGTTTTTAATTCTGCCCAACAGTCTGCTAACTTTGCAGTCCTCATTATATTCTGTAAAGTTACACTCAATTGTATTATGGTATTTCAATCTATTCAGCATACACTGACAGAAAGATCCATGTAATAAGTAGTTCGGACCTTATGCCTCTTTTTACTGTATCAGCATAATGATATGTCCAAACTGTGGGGTGAGACCCCTTAAAATATGATTCCTTTCATATATGCTGAAGAAAAGGCAATGTGGCTTTTCTTTTTAACTTGACTGCTTGCTTCTAATGAGAATGTAATGTAGTGGTAAACAAATAACTAGAACCGTTAATAGTCACATCATGGTACAGTATTTTGGACATTCATTTCAGGTTCTCAAATTTCCAGTTGGCACAACTAATGCTCTATTAAATTAAATAATTGGTGACATGATCAGATATAAACCTTCTCCCAGACCATTTGTATGACATACTTTCCATATTCTCATGCTAAGTAAGCAAGATAGTAAATTCCAATTAAATAATAAAGAAGAACTGCGGGTATTTTTTAAAATTAGCTCTTGCGAGTTGAGCTACCCCAGCACTGCAAAGAATAACTCCTCGTTTTGGTCTAGGGAGGAAAATAAAGTTATACTGACCCGATCCTACAGGCTGGCCGGCTTCCTGAAACCCGTCTCCTACTCCACTGCAGCGATGGTATGTCTCTCGTCGTCCTTAAGTCCTATACACAGTGTACTGAATGTGATGACTTGGAGACCTTAGACCACTGCAGATGAGGGGGAAGGGACCAGGGACTGGTCTTAGAGCAAACCGGCTGTGGGGCTAACTGAGAGAAAGCTAAAGGTATATGGCCAGCTAGAAGAAAATACATTTTTCTCTTCTTTGGTGCTACTTTGGCTGCCTATTTGAAGTACAAATGTTCACATATATAGGATTAAGGCATAGACTCCCGGAGCAATTAGCAGTGATATAAACAGTATGGACCTGCAGAAGCACAGAGGATGTGGTGGTAAGAATGCACTAATGTTAAATTAGAAAAAATGTTTGTTTTCTTTTCTCATGAAAAGGGCAAATCTCAAAATAGTAACACAAGACACAAGAGACCTAAACACGTATATTCTTTACCCTGCACTGAGAGAAGCTGACATGGAATCTATGTGATGACAATATGGATATCACCTTGTTACCCATGTCAAATCAATCAAATTCTTCATTTCATTTTCTATCTATAGGCAACATGGACAATTTTTTTTATAAATACTAGGCTGGATGTTAGTGTCATTGATGCCATAATATGGCATCAATGACACTAATATGGCATTCTTTGGATGTTTTTTTTCCCATTTTTAGTTGCAATAAAAGCAGTGTGTGTGCCAATATGATAAAATTCAACAAGACAAGCATGGTATTTCATTCAGTAAGCAGGAGTAGTAGACTTAGAAAATGTTACAGAGATGTGGATTTTCGCAAAAGGGCAGAATTATTTCTGGAGGCTATCTTCCTCACCTGAGAAGGTGCGCTACAAGACAGGCCAGACAGCTCGCTTATCCTGGCGGCAGCTGTGGGATTGCTGGAACTGATGAGCACTGGGGGGCTGATCTCCATGGAATGGCGGTTCTGCACAGACTGCGATGACTTGTTGGACATGGTGAGTGAGGTGAAGGAGTGGCGCTTTTTGGTGTTCTTCTTGGCATCAGTGTGCTTTTGGGAAGAGCTGATATGTGTTGTTCCAGATGTACCTTCCCCAGAGTCCACTACTCCTGACGGCTTGTCCAACTCTATAAGCTGCTTCGCTGCGGAATTAAACTGAAAAAAAAGAGACATGGTTTACAGCTAGAATCACACACTAAAGCAAAAACATCTTAAATTATGCACACAGGGGATTTTTCTCTAGAGGATAAAATAAGACACAACAGCATATAACCTGTGGCTCTTTTAGCTGCCAAGGACCTTAAAGTGGCAGCATTCCTATAAACAGCAGACTGGGACAGCTACAGCTAAATGAGTCAGAGAAGTTTGCCTCCTTGCTATGCCCCTGCTCCGCACATATGGTTTATATTGATTTTCAGTTAGTCTGAGAAAAGTAAACAGCTTATGCTGGACTTCCTCTTTAGAAAGCCCAGTTGTGTCATGGGTGCACCCCTATGAAATTGTTATTTAAAAAAAGAAAGTTAAACGAGTAATCAATAATGAGTTTACATGATTTAAAACCTGGTAAACCACATACAATTATAAACCATGACCAAAAACCAAGTGTTACAGCCTTTTAATAAATTGTACCTTATCTAGATATACATTGAATCGCTATCATGAGAAAGGATTAGTATAAATAAATAAGCCGGTGAAACAAAGGATGCTTTTGATTCTAATACAACCTAAATCTGTACAGCCCTGTTAATATATCTGGCGTCCGGGCCACACCAATTACGAAAAGCACAGAAGATTACCTCGGAGTTTTGTCAGCTTTCCTCTAGGCTTTATTTTCCACTTAATTAGGATATTTGCTTATCTCCTGAAAATATTACACGGAAAAAGATTTGCCTGCTGATTACTGGGCAAAGAAAGGTATTCCTGTACCCATGGGATCCATGCAAGACTGGCATTTCCTTCTGCTAGACAGGCAAGGAAGATGGCTACAAAAAGCAAACAGATGTCTCCTTATCTGTTTAATTAGCCACACTTACATGTACAAATACGAAGAAGCCCCCGGGTTATTTAATTAACAGTGGTTTAAAGTACAAGGATTTATTGGCAGACCATAATGATTACAAAATACAGCAAGCTAAACATGACACTAGCAAAAAAAGAGTATTAAGAATAAACTTGATTCACGGATGTTTGACATACCGACACCACCATGCCTAGAATTACACCAAACACAAATTATTAGTTCTAAAGGAAAACAAACAATCTCCTACACTGTAATAAAAACAAAAAGACAAATATTTCACAAATCTGAGGATATGCCGAGGTTTTTTCTTCTTCTTTTTTGCATCCCCAGAATGAGGCAAGTGCCTTTTTGGCATTCAGAATGAGGCAAATGCAGTTGTGACATATATGGGTTAAACTGCCATCCCATGTACCACCAAGTTTATATCTGGAATATATAAAACGGGCAGACAATCTGACATGCATAAAAAGTAAAGGGTAGCAAAATGGGGAAAATCTCTACTACTCTCTGACAGCAGTGCATTTTTACACCTTCCTCCATATAGGGCTTCAATGAAAGGACATCACACAAGCATGTCTGAAGGTGATTTTTCAGAGAAGTCGCCACATGAAGGAACTCCGCATAGAGATGCTCACACTGTGAAGGATTCTGCCCTTTTGAACAGATCTAAGATGAAAGCTAGAGACTATAAAAATTGCATGATTAACTGCTAAAGAAATGATGAAAATCCAAGTTATGCACATGACGTATAGAAACAGAAAGATGAGGTATGGAGAGGTATAACAAGCAATCAGCTCTAAGGTTTTAAGTGACTCATGCCATTCCTCATTGCTATTTCACATGTGCAAAGAGAAATGTGGTAGGTAAACTCAGGCCCTCCAGCTGGGGCCAAACTAAAAATCCCATCATGCGTGTCTGTCAGAGTCTTGCAATGACTAATGGGATCTGTAGTTGCACCACAGCAGGAGGGATGAAGATTGCCTACCCCTGTTATAGATTTTCTACAGCTCCCTTTTTCATGCCACAGCTCTCAAGCAACCCACAATTGTTGGAATTTTGACTTTATCACCGATCACTTCCCAATGGCTGGATTTTATATGGACTCACCTCAGTCAAAAGAAAAAAAACGATTTGAGCCAGTTAAGAAAGGAATAATATTATTGTATCCAGGTACCCTGGACACAGACAAAAACTGCCATTCAGGCATTTCAAAGGGGGGAGAGGGAGAGAGAGAGGGGAGAGGGAGAGAGAGAGGGGAGAGGGAGAGAGGGAGGGAGGGAGAGAGAGAGAGAGAGGGAGGGAGAGAGAGAGAGAGAGAGAGAGAGAGAGAGAGAGAGAGAGAGAGAGGGAGAGAGAGCGTGCGCATTGGAGCTGCTTTACCGGCCATGGGTCTGTATTTCTGTTCATCAAGTTCTGACATTTGCACAGCCAGACATATGATCATTTTCTTTGTTACATATATAGACTATAGAAGTAAAGTGGTGTGTGTTCTCTCTCATCCTCCCAGCCTAATGACAGTGAAAGAGAAGAAGGCTGATGAGGTAATCTGTCTGCTCAACCTGCCCTCTCCTCCTATTAGTATGCTCCATGTCATCACATTTAGATTGTAAGGCCTCACGGGCAGGGCCCTCCTTACCATCTTGTCTTGAATTGTATTGTAATGTCTTCCTTATATTGTAAAGCGCTGCGCAAACTGTTGGCACTATAAAAATCCTGTATAATAATAATTTGCATGCAACACACCTGATTGGTGACCTTCTCCAAGATTAAGTATGGCTGTATAAGGAATTGCAAAAGGCCGATAAGACTAAATTCGGTATTCACAATAGTTGCATTTAAAAAATATATATATATTTACGTACATGATTAAAGAATGTAAAGATGTACGTAGTAGGGATGAACTGATACTGGGTTTTCGGTATCGAGTATGAGTGCGATATTTATATTTCGGTACTTCGGGTAGCATTGAGCCGGCTGCCCGGGCATCCAGGAAGCCGTGCAGGCTGCCATTACCGGCTTGTTGATTTGACGGGAAGCCGACTCCATGATGTTTGGCCAAGAAGCCGGCACCCCAGCCAATCAGCAGGGAGCTGGCATCCCAGACAATCAGGAAGCTGGGAGGCGGGTCATTTCTTGATTGGCCGGCTCGATGGTGATTGGCCTGGGATGCCAGCTTCCCAGGCAATCAGCATCGAGCCGGCTTCCAGGCCAATCAAAAATTCAGAAGGCGGGTCTTCACCCGCTGCCCAGCTTCCTGATTGGCTGGGAGGCCGTCTCCATGCTGTTTGGCCCGGGAAGCCGGCTTCCCAGCCAATTAGCATGGAGCCAGCTTCCTGGCCATTCAGTAAGCCAGGAGGCATTTCATTACCTGCAGCCCGGCTTTCTGATTGGCCGGGAAGCCGGTTCCATGTTCCCTCACGGCACTGCCGTTTAGGGGAAATCTCCCTCTGACCGGAAGCTCCAGTATCGGTGTATCCCTAGTATGTAGAAAAAAGAGTTCCAGGGAAAAATATTATTAAAAGGGGGCTATCCACGCAATGCAAAGCTTAACTGCTTGTTTTCACATTGGGGCTAAAATTACAAAGTTATACTCACCTGATCCTCAAAATCAGCCGACGGTCACAGCACTCCCTCAAGCCTGTCTCCTCCTACATTGCAGGGATGGCATGTCCCTCGGCGTCCTCAAATCCAATACAGTGTGTATTGGATGTGATGACACAAGGATCCTTAGACCGCTGCAGCAAAGGGGAAGAGACGCTGGAAGGACTATTCTAACAGCAAGCTGGCTCTGAGAATCAGGTGAATATAACTTTGCTATCTTCAGCCCTAGACCAAAATGAGCCCTTAACCCTTGGGGTGGGTAGGTCCACTGCAAGGGTTAATAATATTTTACCCCCACATTCTGCTTCAGCAATAAAGACAAAAACTGATTGGTTATCATTAGCAGCATCGTCTTTTTCCTGTGTTCTAGTCATATATCCTCCCTCACCCCTTAGTGCTTCTTAATAACAATGGAACACTGAACACCTAACACACATTTTCCTAAATAAAAGCGTGTCAATGGTCATATGTTCTCAGCTAGGGAAGGAATCTTCTATACATCAAATAAATCATTCAACTTTACTGCTGCTGAACTAATCCGCTCTTGGGTACCAAAATGAGTTGATGTCATGGGGGACCGGCAAAAACAATGTAAAAAAAGAACGTACGTTTGCCAGGGTTTCCCAGGTAATAAGGTTTTCTTTCAATTCCCACTTACTTCATTCCTACAAGTTTTATTGCGGCAATTACTTTCCTAATACAAGTAATAATGCGTTCAGTTTATTTTGGCTCTACAAACTATTAAGAAGGTGGAAAAGCTTTGGATAGAGGAATTATTCTCACTCTATGTGTTCAACCTGTTGCAAGCAAACTGGAGTCTCATGTCCAGATGTCTTAGCGAGCTGTGTTTGAAAATGAACAAGGTCATATTTTACACTCATACACCAATAATATTGTATAGTGCACTATAAATTACAGCCAGAAATGTTGCCTCTGAATTGAAACATTACCACAGAAGGTGCTCAGTGGACAAGTGCTTCGAGTTCATTTGGAGAGCGTAAACAGACCTTGTAATAACGAATGCTCAAATAACATCCTTTTACAAGGCTTGCCACTAGGTGTTGGCATATTTAATTCTATACTACATCACAATTCCACTTTGCCCCAGGCACGTGGTTAAACTTTTATATCCACTCATCATTTCATTCATCTTAGTCCTTGTTTTCTGACAGACCCTTGATGGGCCAGTGGAATTCTATGGAATGGGTAGACACATGGCAGAATCAGTAGGCTAGCTAGAGTTTCAAAATTAAAGCTGCCCCCTAGACAAAGTATACTTTATAGTAACAAAGAACACTTTTTCTTACAACTTGTCAGCTTGAATATATGATGCTATAAAATGAAACTGCTTAAATAAAGCTCCACTTTTGCAAATGCTAGATACAGAAGTGCTACGCAAGCCATTTTGTAACATAATCGTATTAAATATTCTTTATCTTTCTATTTTAATCTGCAGACGCTGCAATTTTCTAAAATGGCCAGAAATTCAAAATCTCTTCTCCTTGCATACAACAACCTGAGGGGTGAATTGTAC